GGTCTGTATGTGGGATCCAAACCCTCGGGCGGGAGCACCGCCGCGCTTCCCAAGCGGCGCACTGTAGCAGTGCGCCACCGGGCCGGCCAACTGCAGTACTTTTAAAGTGTTTCATTTCATCAAAATGGCCTCTGACATTTTGTTAACTTATATAAAGTCATACTCTATGATTTTTATTGTTAACATTAAAAAACATCGTTTTATAAGCTATTTTTTAAATCACAAAATAGATTTTCAAAGATAGTCTCAAATTCCTCCCATAATTAGGCCAACATAAAAGTTATACCTCCATAGAAAAATGCAGTTTTAGAGGTATTTAGATTTTATTATAAAGCTTATCATCTCTTAATCAGTAATTTCTAAATTCTCTCACAATCCACTTTCTAGATTCATTTTTATTCTCTGGAATTTAACAGTACTTTTCAGATATTACATTAATTAGTTCCTTCACCGGATCTATTATTTCATGTTTATTCATTTTCATCTCTATTTGACTATAAAGTTCTGTCCAATTTTCCTTTTAAGTAAATGTTGTATTGAATTACAACATATAAACAGTTTAATGGACAACTCGTTAGTTCAATACATTTTTGTTTTGTGAACACACGTATGCAAACCAGCAGCTTCATAAAGAAAACAGGAGCCCCTCCTCCAGTTCACACTAGTCATTAAGAAGATTCTGACATGTACAACTATAGATCAGTTGTGTCTGTTTTTATTTTTTCTTTTTCTTTATATAAAATATATCTCTTGTCACCTTTCACTACTCATTACATTTCTGATATTCATCTTTACTGTTGCTTGTAGCAGCAGTTAATCATTTTTATTTCTGTACAATAATCTACTCCATGAATATATCCTAATTTATTTATCCACTCTACAATTGAGGCAGATTTGAGTTGTTTATACTTTTTAGTTTTTATAAATAATATAAATAATCTTATGCTTTTTTTTTGTCCCACATATGTATTTCTGTGGGGTAACATATAGACTCTACAATTGAGGCAGATTTGAGTTGTTTATACTTTTTAGTTTTTATAAATAATATAAATAGTCTTATGCTTTTTTTTTGTCCCACATATGTATTTCTGTGGGGTAACATATAGCAGTATTTAAGTGAGATATTTTCCCAGGAGTAGAATTCCAGCATCATAAAATATGTTTGGCTTTGGTAGATGCAGCCACATAGTTTTTAGAATGATTGATATTATTTATTTTATTAATATTTTTTTAAACTCTAGTCATTCTGGCTGTGGTGCAATATGTGTGGTTTTAATTTATATTTCTCTAATAAATGATGACATTTTACTAATATGCGTTTGTCGCTCATTTGATTATCTTCTTTTGTGAAGTGCCTGTTCAATTATACTCACATTGCCATTAAAAAATGATTTTTTTTTTTCCTTTTTCTTCTTTACGTCTGGGAGTTTTTATATTTTCAGGGTATTCTTTCTTTGCCAGACGTAGATACTGCATGGATTTTCTTCCGGTTTGAGGCTTGTGTTGTATTCTTCTAAGAGTGTCTTTAGATGAAGAAAAGTTTATAAATTTTACAAATTTTTTAGGGTGGGTGTTTCTTGGGTCCTGTTTTAAAAAATCTTGGCTTTGGTTACAAAAATATTCTTCTATGTTTTCTTCTTGAAGTTTGGTTGTTTAAACTTTTACGTTTAGGGCATATTACCCATGTGGAAATGATTTCACAGTGGTAAAGAGGAGGGTCCAGATGAGTATTTTCCACACGTGTTTCCCCTCTGCATGGCAGTGGTACCATTGTCATAAAGCAGGTGTCCATGGTGATATTTGGGTACACATATACGATGTGTAGTAATCAAATCAAGGTAATTAGCACAGCCATCACCTCAAATATTTGTCATCTCCTGTGTTGAGAACTTTCAAAATCCTCCCTTCTAGCTATTTAAAGTTATACAGTACATTTACCGTAGTCGCCCTACAGTGCTATAGAACACTGGAACTTTCTTCTCCTATCTAGTTGTAACTTTGCATCTGTTGACAAACCTTTCCCTATCCCCGTACTCCTTTTTTTATTCAGTCTGATTCTCACAAAATCCCTTTAATTATTTTTTTTAAATAACCATTTCACTTGTTACAATATTCAATAGAACAAAACCTATTTGAATTTGACTTTTCTATTTCGTTAATTAGAAACTTTTTAAAAAACTTACAAAATGTTAACATGTGATTTTTACTTATTCTCCATATTTGGCACAATAATTTAAAATTACATATTTACATAATTTGTAAAGGAGCTATTTATATATAGTTTATGAACTATTTACATCTTTTTTAACAGACTTTTATTGGGGACATCCTCTTGCTTGTTAACCCATTTAAGGAGCTTCCAATTTACTCTGCCATGGTGAGTATAAAATTTAAAATGCTACTTAATAATGTAGAATAACACTCGCTAGGCATATTATATGTTTGTACAAATGGCTGATTAAGAAGAAAAATAAAACAGTAAGTCAGATCAATTTTTTTAGAAAAGGTTAAAAAGTCTTAATTGGATGGTTGCATGATAGTGACTTAATTTGCTCTGAAATAACTTTGAACATTAGGGTTATTTTATCAAAAGTTTCTTTCAAACTTGTGTAATTCTTCTGTAATTATAGCCACTAGACAGACTTAAAATTAAAAAACATATAACAACATTTTTAATACATTATTGGCTAATTAACGATCAGTTGGTCTAGAGTCCTTATTTGAACACATTACTTCTTTCTGAAGAGATCTATTATACTAAAGCAACGGGATTAAGAAATGGTGATTTTGCATGTTACAGTTTCCTAAATGACTTGCCCTCAAAATTAAGAGACCCTCAAAATTAAAAGAGAAATTGCTTATGGAAAATTATTGCAGCCAACTGAAAACACGGTATGATTTTTGAGTAGTAATGGGTCAAAAATACTATCATAGGAGCTCTCTATTTTTTGTAAAACCACAAGATTGATTTCAGTACAAAGCAGAATCCCTCATAGAGGGCAATAGCATGCCAACCAGGGGACCATGGATACATGCTCCTGATGCACAGACACAGTCATAGATGTTGGAGAAGAGAGAGAGAGAGAGAGAGAGAGAGAGAGAGAGAGAGAGAGAGAGAGAGAGAGAGAGAGAGAGAGAGA